TTCTCAGCTCACTCAGGGCGGAGCTAAGGTAAAACGCTAGTGTCAATCAACAATCGTGGGAGGGGCCTGGGTCTGAGTGACGTCACACAGACAAGAAGCTGAGATCGGCTTGATCTGAGAAAGGGGATATTATGTATAGGGTTAAAAAAAACAAACAAAAAAACTGGGTGGATTTTTATCATTTTAGGGTGGGTGTGTACAAACACTGCCAAAACGCATTTATTCAAACATGTACAAGTGCATTTCGCATCTGATGACCCCTTTAAAATAATAATACGACCAGTTAACACTGGCTATGTTTTGTAGTTTTGGAGCTGCTGATGTGACTCACTCTCTCTCTCTCTCTCTCTCTCTCTCTCTCTCTCTCTCTCACTCTCTTTCTCTTTCTCTCTCTCTCTCTCTCTCTCTCTCTCAAGCATGAGCACTGGTCCTGGGTTTCTGAGGTTTTCTCTCAGAACTTTATTAACAGAGATTTACTCCTGCGAGTCTTTCACGGACCTGACTTGCATCTCAAACACCTTCACTCATTCCCTTGCTGCCTCTAAATGCCCCGCTGCAATCGCCCTAACGACCTGATCATGCACCTTTCTGAGTGACGGGTACAAACAGGTGCTTTTTTGACTATCACATACAGTATACAGTACCCTAATAACACTGAAATAGAAATAGAGTTTGACCATCAGTATCTCATTACAGCTGTTTTAAAAAATATATATTTGGACTTTATTTAAAAGTTTAATTATGAATAATATAAAGTCTAATGGTGAAAATATTGAAATAAACCAACAAACTGTTTCCCATGTCGTTCCTCTTTCACCGCTAGATGGCGCTGCTGTTCACACTTGAATGAATTAATGAATGAAGCATTTATAAAGCGCTTTATTGTGTATTGTTGTTCACCCAAAGCGCTGTACAGTCATGTGGGGGGGGGGTCTCTCCTCAACCAGCACCAGTGTGCAGCATCCACTTCATAATGTTCACTTTTAACAGAGCGACTATTACAAAACACGACTGGCCTGATATTAAACGTGTTCTCTGAGAATACTTCACAGACTGATTCTCATAATAAGACGATAATGAAGCAGATGTTCCTGGTTTCCTCGCTAGATGGCGCAGGTTGCTGTTCACCAGGTGATCATGCTCTTCTGTGCTGAGAGATGTCTTTACAACACAACCACACTAACCCACAGTACAGAGAGCAGAGAGCGTCCACTGGTTTTTACAGCATGTTGAGGAGCGTGTCTGAATAACGCGG